TGCTCTAACTCATTTTAGTCTGCCTTAATGTGTTTCCACAGTCCATGAAGATTTATGATCCTTTCCATTTCCTTTTTTGGACACAATTTCCTTTGTGTCCTTCTTTTTGGGAGATGCCTTCTTTTTTTTATAATTGTCCTACCCCTGTGGTTTAACTGTGTTGGCATCCTTCAGAGCTTGACCCTCCACCACAACCACAGGAGTAAACAATTGTACAAACTATCCTACAGCAAACTCTCAAAGAACATAATGCAAACATTGGATTATGGATTTCCAGTGCACCCTGTAATTTTATTCACAATGTACTACTAGTCTTGTTGCTAAGATTAAAACCAGTATTACGCTTTTCATACAATAACCACATCCCAAAGCACAGCAAGGACCACAGAGCAATCCAAGTGATCAAAGACTACTCTAATAGTACAGGAAAAAGACCCTCTACACAATCTTGTGGGAAGTGCCAATTCCTTTCCCTAATTCACTGCTAGTATACTGAATTAAAGCTTTTAAGTTTACAAACACTGCTCGGAATCATGCCAGTATGACTGATACAAGTAAAATTCTAGGACACTTAAGTAAGTGGTTGCCACATTCAGGCACCAGCCCCCTCACATATTGAGCTGCGTAGTGGGAGCTTGACTTAATTTACGACAAATAAATGCCTGAAGAACGTATCTGATTAATAACAAGGACATAAAGGAGAAAGCATTTGCACAAAACAGAAATTATTTTCTGAGGTAACAAATGCATACTCCAAACTGGAATTAAAGCAAAATCGCAGAACTCAAAGGAACTATTGTAGAGCATGTGGGTGTTAGATAAAAAGGCTTTGTGAGGAAGTTGCTACAGTACTTAAACATAGAATCTGTTAGAATACTGTCATGAAAACCTACTATACACTCTGCTTTAAAACAGTTTAATCCCCCTTTTTTACACAGAATTCTTTGTACAGTCCAAGAAAAAAAAAAAAGTTGCTACTAAATCACAGGAACTTTCTCTGCACCTTAGGCCTCCAAAATTTTCTCCGCTGAGTCATGTCATCTGACTGGTCACGCAAGAATACATGTCAGCTTGTAGCTTGTCATGGAGTTGATTAGAGATTTTTTTTGAAGGAGCTGAAGCTAATGTGCTTAAGCTATTGAACAAAAATGTCATATATGCTCTTGATGTGCACTTTGTTCTCCATATTAAATCACATGCCTCATAGATCTTTAAGGACAAAATTACTGATGCACGGCATATGCACTCCTTTAACCACTGCAGTTTACCCTAGCAAAGTATTACCCAATGTGAGAGTTAAGACTATAGAAAGGAAATAGCATGCTCTATTTTCTTCAATTTAATTGTCATGTCTCAGGTTTTTTTTCCATAATGATTTAATCTTGTTGAAAATTTTGAGTCCACATTCTATTGATGGGGCCCTCCAGTAACTGGAATAAGTTGCCAAAATTATTTTTTGACTCTTGTAGGCCCTAAATTTTATGTCCAGTAACACATCACAAAATTAATGACCGTCTCCAATTTTTTGTTATTACTTACTACTTCCTACATGTTTTTGTTTAAGATGTACATTTCTTTGTGTGGCTTCTTCTATGTTTACAAAGCATGTTTCTGCTGGAGACTGCCTGGTCTCAGCTCAAGATAACTGATGTATCTACAGACTCTAAACTTTCAGCACTGTTAATTTCGCATCTTTTAATTAGTTCAGCCTTTTCCTATCCTTTCACTGTAACCCCAGTATGTCCTTTACCTGACTTATTCCCATCTTGCTGACTTAGCACTCTCTACAGTAGCTTGCCCTCCCTGAAGAGAAAAAACGATGACTGCAGTAGCGAGGCCTTGTAAATAACATCAATATTGAAAAGCAACAACAAATAAGCAACTGTGACATTGGAGCCGGTTTTCACTACACACCCCACAGAGAAAGCTTTCCTCGTGCATTCAGGATAAACAAGTATTTTGTAAAGTCGGGGTCTCATAAATACAAGCCAGAAGTGCTTACTTTCTGGAAAGTTTCAAATGAAGGATCGACCGGAGGAGGGGCCGCCGCCGCCCCCCTCACGCCAGGGCGCCCCAAGCGCCGCCTCA